CATAAACTAAATAAAGTTTAAGTTAACATTGTTGCGTTAACATTACTTAATAGCAGCAAACAACAAGTGTTATAAAGAAAATGACATTAAATATTACAAGGTTTACTTAAATTTTATATTGTATGAGAAAAAAATAAAATAATCTAGTCTTTAGTCTAGCCTATAGTCTAGTCTATAGTCTAGTCTTTAGTCTATAGTCTAGTCTAGTATTTAGTCCATAGTCTAGTCTATAGTCTAGTCTATAGTCTAGTCTATAGTCTAGTCTATAGTCTAGTCTATAGTCTAGTCTATAGTCTATAGTCTAGTCTATAGTCTAGTCTATAGTCTAGTCTATAGTCTAGTCTATAGTCTAGTCTATAGTCTAGTCTATAGTCTAGTCTATAGTCTAGTCTATAGTCTAGTCTAGTAGTCTATAGTCTAGTCTATAGTTTAGTCTATAGTCTAGTCTATAGTCTAGTCTATAGTCTAGTCTATAGTCTAGTCTATAGTCTAGTCTATAGTCTAGTCTATAGTCTAGTCTATAGTCTAGTCTATAGTCTAGTCTATAGTCTAGTCTATAGTCTAGTCTATAGTCTAGTCTATAGTCTACTCTATAGTCTAGTCTATAGTCTAGTCTATAGTCTAGTCTATAGTCTAGTCTATAGTCTAGTCTATAGTCTAGTCTATAGTCTAGTCTATAGTATAGTCTATAGTCTAGTCTATAGTCTAGTCTATAGTCTAGTCTATAGTCTAGTCTATAGTCTAGTCTATAGTCTAGTCTATAGTCTAGTCTATAGTCTAGTCTATAGTCTAGTCTATAGTCTAGTCTATAGTCTAGTCTATAGTCTAGTCTATAGTCTAGTCTATAGTCTAGTCTATAGTCTAGTCTATAGTCTAGTCTATAGTCTAGTCTATAGTCTAGTCTATAGTCTAGTCTATAGTCTAGTCTATAGTCTAGTCTATAGTCTAGTCTATAGTCTAGTCTATAGTCTAGTCTATAGTCTAGTCTATAGTCTAGTCTATAGTCTAGTCTATAGTCTAGTCTATAGTCTAGTCTATAGTCTAGTCTATAGTCTAGTCTATAGTCTAGTCTATAGTCTAGTCTATAGTCTAGTCTATAGTCTAGTCTATAGTCTAGTCTATAGTCTAGTCTATAGTCTAGTCTATAGTCTAGTCTATAGTCTAGTCTATAGTCTAGTCTATAGTCTAGTCTATAGTCTAGTCTATAGTCTAGTCTAGTCTATAGTCTAGTCTATAGTCTAGTCTATAGTCTAGTCTATAGTCTAGTCTATAGTCTAGTCTATAGTCTAGTCTATAGTCTAGTCTATAGTCTAGTCTATAGTCTAGTCTATAGTCTAGTCTATAGTCTAGTCTATAGTCTAGTCTATAGTCTAGTCTATAGTCTAGTCTATAGTCTAGTCTATAGTCTAGTCTATAGTCTAGTCTATAGTCTAGTCTATAGTCTAGTCTATAGTCTAGTCTATAGTCTAGTCTATAGTCTAGTCTATAGTCTAGTCTATAGTCTATAGTCTAGTCTATAGTCTAGTCTATAGTCTAGTCTATAGTCTAGTCTATAGTCTAGTCTATAGTCTAGTCTATAGTCTAGTCTATAGTCTAGTCTATAGTCTAGTCTATAGTCTAGTCTATAGTCTAGTCTATAGTCTAGTCTATAGTCTACTCAATATGCTCTCCTATAGTCCAGTCTTCATTACCCGTATTAACAGCAAAACAACAGAAAAACCGCAACATTAGCGCTTAACAAATGACTTGCAAAAACAAATTCCCAAGGAAATTACTACAACAATATTTTCTATTTATTTTTATTTAATGCATACCGGCAAATGTCCAAAATTTCATTCATAAAACACAACAAAACAGTAATAACAAAAACATCTTATTTCCCCCCCAAAAAAAAAGATAACACTATTTACAAAAACAACGAAAATAACCAGAGCTAATGCAAAACACCAACAATAACAAGAATAAGTAATATAGAATACAAAAAATCTCACTCCCACTTGCCAATAAGCAATAACACCCTTTAATACACAAAACAACAATAAGAGAAATCATTGTTATGATTTGCAAAAACAAACAGACAACTTCACTGCGTAAAAACACGCACTCATAACAATGAAGAGAGCAGAAAACATAAACAAAATCTCTTTAATATTTACTCCCATTTATGCACCCAAAATTAAGACACAAACATACAAACATATGGACATTACAAACATATGTATGTATGTAACATAGTACGAAAACAGCAAGCAAGTGCAAGCCTTTCAAATAAAAACAACAACAACATTGCAATGCAAAGACAAAACATGACAAAGCAGAAATAGCTCAACAATTGAAGGGCAAACTATTTGTTATATTAATTTGAAAGAAAATTATGCGAAATTGTTATGATATTAATAAAGATTTATTAACACAAATTAAACAAAGACAATAAAAACAAACTTACTTTGTAGTAGCAACTTGTAAAATGAAGAATTTTCTTTTATTAACAAAACGAAACACAAACGAAATGGCGGACGAATGAAAAACATTAACGAACACTTTAATTACTAAGATTTAAAAGAATTATATTAAATTTTCTTCGAAAAATAAACTTTTTACATAAATTTTTGCAATTTGATAAAAAAAAACTATAGTTTTTAACACTTATTAATATTTTTAACACTTTTAACTAAATTCCTTTTATTACTTTACTTAAACACGACGCGCACCGTTAACAACTCAAGAAGGACTGAAGAGATTAACAATAAAGTTTATTGAATAAACGAAAGAAAGCCGAGCAGGAAGTTAATGGAAATGTGAGAACAGAATGTTAATAACATTAGAAGGCAATGGGAAGTAAATTAACAGAATGTTACTATTAAATGAACGACAAAGGTAAATGTTAATGCAATAAAAGTATAATTATGTTAAAGGAAACTGTAGATAATGTTAAAGTTAATTTTTTTTATAAAAATATGTTTTATAAAGAAGAAATTTAAATTCCCAAAATTTTTTTAAAAAATCGCCTTAAAAGAGATTTTTATCCTCACTTTGGCAAATAAATAGTTTTTGGTAGAAAATTACTTTTTTAATGAAAATTCTTATAAATAGTACAGTTATAAACTAATTTTTAATAAAAATCTAAATTTTTCTAATTCCCAAAATTAAATTTAAAATTTCCAGGAGGGGAAATTTGGTTTTTAACAGATTTCAAGAGTTTTATTTGTTTTAAGGAAATTTTTGAAAATGTTATAATGAACATTTGTGAAGTAAATATAAACTCCCAAAAATTTTGGAAAAATCCCTTTGAGGAGATTTTTATTTTTGAATTGGGAATTTTGAATTTTTAACAGAAAACTGAAATTTTTAAAGAAAAAATATAATTTTAATGAAAATTAGCGAAAAAATATGAATTCCCAAAATTTTTTTTGAAAATCCCCTTTAAGGAGATTTTTATTTTGAAATTGGGAATTTAGGTTTTTAAGCAGAAAAGAGAAATTTTAATGAAAATCTATTAATATAAAGAAAATTGGTGACAAAATATGAATACCCAAAAAATTTTTCGAAAATCCCCTCTGAGGAGATTTTTATTTTGAAATTGGGAATTTAGGTTTTTAAGCAGAAAAGAGAAATTTTAATAAAAATCTATTAATATAAAGAAAATATGAAAATATGACAAAATATGAATTCCCAAACAATTTTCAAAAATCCCCTGTGAGGAGATTTTTATTTTGAAATTGGGAATTTAGTTTTTTCAAGCAGAAAAGAGAAATTTTAATGAAAATCTATTAATATAAAGAAAATTAGTGACAAAATATGAATACCCAAAAAATTTTTCGAAAATCCCCCTTAAGGAGATTTTTATTTTGAAATTGGGAATTAGAATTTTTTAGCAAAAAATTTAATTTTTAATGAAAAATTCCATAAAAAGTTGAATTATAACAAAAAAAATCAATTCCCAATAAGTTTTGAAAAATCCCTTTGAAGGAGATTTTTATATTTTAGTTGGGAATATAGAATTTTTAGCAAAAAACTGCAATTTGTTTAAGAAAATATATAATTATAATGTAAATTAGCGAAAAAAATATGAATTCCCAAGCATTTTTCGAAAATTCCCTATGAGGAGATTTTTATTTTAGAATTGGAAATTTAAATTTTTCAATAAAAATAAGAAATTTTAATGAAAATCCATTAATATAAAGAAAATTAGTGACAAAATATGAATTCCCAAAAATGTTTTCAAAAATTCCCTTTAAGGAGAATTTTATTTTAAAATTGGGAATTTCGGTTTTAAAGCAGAAATGAGAAATTATATTAAAAATATATTAATATAAAGAAAATTAGTGACAAAATATGAATTCCCAAAAAATTTTTCGAAAATTCCCTTTAAGGAGATTTTTATTTTGAAATTGGGAATTTAGTTTTTTTAAGCAGAAAAGAGAAATTTAAATCAAAATCGATAAATATAAAGAAAATTAGTGACAAAATATGAATTCCCAAAAAATTTTTCGAAAATTCCCTTTAAGGAGATTTTTAATTTGAAATTAGGAATTGAAAATTTTTAAGGAAAAATCAAGTAAAAAGATGAAATTTAACTAAAACAGAGAAAAATCTCGAATCTCTGTTAGTTTTAATAAAATTTAGCTAAAATTTTAGATTTTGGGAGTAAAAATTTAAAAAAACGCTAAAATTATTTAAAAAACAAGGGTAATAGGGCAACACTGAAACAATCAGCAAAACAAAACCCTAATAATTATGCTCCCCTTGTCACTTTCTCTCACTGTCTTGCCTCTCTTTAACAAAATTTCAACAAGTGTTTCATTTTCACCCCAAAAGAAAATTTTTGTAAACAAACAGAGAGAGTTTTAGTGTGAACTCCCCACTATTTAACGTTTCATTTCTCATTTCGTACACAAACATCATGTTGGCATTAGCGCGCAACGTTATGGAATTATTATATACTAGATATTTAATAAAATTTGTTGTTGTTTATTAAAGTAAAATCGGGGGAAAATAACGAAATCACACCATGCTGGCGCAGCACGAAGACCAAAAAAAATATTGCCAACACATTTTAGTTCTAGTTTAACCACCGGTTGGTTTAGTACTTGCTCTCGTCTAGAAAATATAGTTTAATAAAGATGTCTTTGGTTCGTTTGATTGGTGCTGAGGTGAGCGGGGGAAAATATAAATAAAATAATAATAAATTTATCTAGAATATAAAAAAAAAATAATAGAAAAAGTACTTGTGTTATGCTTCTAAATAAACAAATTTTCTATAAATTTATTCAAAACATGTGTGTGCTGGTGTTGTTTTTGAAAAATGTGTAGCGAGGAGAAGAGGGGAGGGGGCGGTTTAAACTGGAATTTTTTAAGTTTTTGCTAAATCATCTAACATTACGTAATTTAAAAGATTTCTTTAATTTTTCAAAACATAATTGCTTAATAACAGTTTAAATGTTGTTGTTTTTGGCCCCCAAGTTGGCTTAGCCCCCCCCCACTTTATCAATTTAATTTGTTGTTAAATAATCAGCAGATGTTTTTATTTTAAAATTAAATTTATAACTTTTGATAAGAACTAATACAAAGCAAACAAAACTTGTGATTTTGAAAGAAAAAACAAAACTCATGGTAACACCTTTTTTATCAGACAGTTATGAGACCCTTGAGAGTGGTCTATCTTTTAAATTAACTTAATTGAATCTTTCTTATCAATATTATATAACATTGATAATAAAATTTAGAAAACTATTTTGTATATAAGAAACTCATGATAAGAAACCCGGAAAACTTTCCCCTTAACTTGGGAGAATTGTTAAGAAATAGATATCCTTAAGATCTTGGACATTTACCAACTAAATTTAATTCAAATCGGGATTTAGATTTTCCAACATTTTAAGAAAAGTTTATTGCAGATCTCACAACCTCTACTAAGCAAATAAGTAGCTGATCTCTTGCCATCTTAAGTTTTCGGAGACCTCCCCCCTGCAGTTAAAAATAAATAATAAAACTAAATAACATATGGCAACAAATTTTGCTAAATTTTTTTTTGATAAGCATATTTCAAGTGCTTATTATTAATTATCTTTATAGCTCACACGCCATATTCGGAAAGCTATATAAATTGGTCCATAAAAATGTACAAACAACAAATTGTTATTACAACTGATAATAATGGAAAGATTTTTTAGCAAAAGACGGGGAAGGAAACAAATCAAGCTAAAGACGCAAATACATAATAGTACAAATTAGAGAAAGGCTTATAGACTAGGCTATATTTCAGATTATAGAGCAGATTGTAGACTAGACTATAGCCAAGGCTGTAGACAAGACTATAATCCAGACTCTAACTAGTACCGACTATAGTATATGCAACAGTCCAGACTATAGACTACACTATAAACTAGACTGTAGACTAGACTGTAGACTAGACTATAGACTAGACTATAGACTAGACTATAGACTAGACTATAGACTAGACTATAGACTAGACTATAGACTAGACTATAGACTAGACTATAGACTAGACTATAGACTAGACTATAGACTAGACTATAGACTAGACTATAGACTAGACTATAGACTAGACTATAGACTAGACTATAGACTAGACTATAGACTAGACTATAGACTAGACTATAGACTATAGACTAGACTATAGACTAGACTATAGACTAGACTATAGACTAGACTATAGACTAGACTATAGACTAGACTATAGACTAGACTATAGACTAGACTATAGACTAGACTATAGACTAGACTATAGACTAGACTATAGACTAGACTATAGACTAGACTATAGACTAGACTATAGACTAGACTATAGACTAGACTATAGACTAGACTACAGACTAGACTATAGACTAGGCCACAGACTAGACCATAAACTAGCCTAGACTGGACTATAGACAAGACTGTTGACTAGACTATAAACTATAGATCACACTACATTATATACTACATTGTAGACTAGACTATAGAATAGGCTACATATTAGACTGTAACCTAGACTATAGTCCAGACAATAGACTAGACTATAGTTCAGACTACAGTCTAGACCAAAGTTTGGGCTATAGTCCAGAATATAGACTAGAGACCAGACTATAGGCTAGATTATAGTCCAGATTATAGACTAGACTATAGTCCAGACTATAGACTAGATTATAGTCCAGACTATAGACTAGATTATAGTCCAGACTAGAGTAAACTATAGTCCAGACTATAGAGTAAACTATAGTCACTGGACTCTATTCTAAAGTCTGATCAGACTATAGACTAGATTATATACAAGACTATATAGAATAGATTACAGACTTCTCCATAATCCATATTATAAACTTCTCTACAGTCAAGACTATGGACGTCTCTATAGTCCAGACTATAGACTATACTAAAGTTTGGACTATAGTCCAGACTATAGACTATACTAAAGTTTGGACTATAGTCCAGACTATAGACTATACTAAAGTTTGGACTATAGTCCAGACTATAGATTAGACTATAGCCCAGACTATATTGCAGACTATAGACTAGACTATGATCCAGACTAGACTAGACTATGGTCTGGACATGGAATAAATAGATTATAGTCCAGACTATAGACTAGACTGTAGTCCAGTCTATATACTAGACTATAATCCAGACTATAGACTCGACTATTGTCGAGACTATAGATTGGGCTATAGTCCAGACTATAGACAAGAGTATATACAAGACTATAGAATTGACTATAGACTTCTTTATAGTCCAGACTATAGACTTTTCTATAGTCCAGAATATAGACTTCTCTATAGTCCAGACTATAGACTTCTCTACAGTACAGACTGCAGACTTCTCTATAGTCCAGACAATAGATTTCCCTATAGTCCAGACTTTAGACTTTTCTATAGTCTAGAGAATAGACTTCTATACGGTCAAGACTATAGACATCTCTATAGTCCAGAATATAGTCTTCACTATAGGCCAGACTATAGCCATCTCTATAGTCCAGACTATAGACTTCTCTATAGTACAGATGTTGTACCTTTTTTTACACTAGACTATATTCCGGAAATTCAATAAATTGGCCCCTTTATGTCTGATATAGTATTAGCGGAAAAATTCTGTTTACATTTTCCTGTATTGCGTTGTTCCTATCAATTTAAAACTGACCTTGATATTATATAGTATTTCTGGCCACATAACAATTTATTCTATTAAATCACAACGTAATACTACTACTGATTGGCCAGCCCCCTACTATGAACAATCTGGAACAAAAAAAATGTATTTAAAGTGGTTCCTTCTTCCCCCTCCTCTCCCCACCTTAATTCTGCTTTAGTTTAAGCAAAAAGAAACTTAATGGAAAGAAACTACTACTAGTTGGCGACATAAAGTGGGCTCGTGTTTTATGAAAGTTATCTTTTAATTGGGCAAGGGGCTGAGGGGAGACTAAAGGGGAGAACAAAACATAGAAAAAGAATAAAACAACAATTTTGGCATAAGCATGAGGCACACTTACTAACACATAGCTGGTGATAATGGAATATTTTGGAGAAGAAGAAGAAATATGCAAATGTCAGAAGAGAGATGAGAGAATGAAATGGGGAAAGAGAGGAATAAAGATTGAGTTGTAATTGAGGTATAAATGGCAAAGAAACAGTTAAAGTGATGCCAATAAGATCAGAAGTTGAAAAAGAAACAAGAATTATAGTGGGAAAGTAAAAAGTAGGGGCTTAAAAGGTGAAATGTATTGCCGAAAAGGTGAATAGTAGAGTAAATAGCAAGAAACGCTTAGCAGACATAAACAATATATTAAAATAAGAAGAATAGATTAAAAGTTCAGTAGTAAAAGAGAGAAATGGGATAAATTTCATAGGAGAGGGTCAAAATAACAATAGGAAAAGGCAAATTTTGCAAAAATTGCACTTTTTGACAGATTTTACTGTAATACATTCTAGGTTAATGTTAATTTTACACTTTTAATTATTAACGAAAAATCTGCTGTTTATTTAAAAATAATTTACGAGTCTTTTATTAAACGAAAAGGTTAATGAACATTTAAATATAATCATTAAAATACAATTTTGCACTTTTCTGCTTGAATATTTCCAAGCGAAAAAAATAAATATTTATAAGTTTCTTTTGCCTTGAACACCCAAACAAAGCGTTATTTTTCATAAATTAATTAAATTTTTTCTTTCCATTTCATTTTACTTAATTATTTATGAGTTTTTTTCTTTTTATTTCTTTCTAGGCCCGTTTCTTGGCCAAGCGTGCCTACTCCTCGGCCGCTCCCACCACCAAAATGTTCATTGATGGTAAATTCGTTGAGTCCAAGACTAACGAATGGATTGATTTGCACGATCCTGCCACCAACAAGGTTGTAAACCGTGTCCCCAAGTGCACACAAGACGAGATGCAAACTGCTTTGGAATCCAACAAGAAGGCCTTCAAATCCTGGAGCAACACCTCAGTATTGTCACGCCAACAGGTTATGTTCAAATTGCAAGCCTTGATCAAGGCTAATATGGGTGAATTGGCCAAGAACATTACCCAGGAACAGGGTAAAACTTTGGCCGATGCTGAGGGTGATGTTTTGCGTGGTTTGCGTAAGTTTTCGGGAATTTTCTATAAATAAAAAACTTGTTATTTTATTAAAATTTTATTTCTACAGAGGTGGTTGAACACTGCTGCAGCATACCCTCCTTGCAAATGGGTGAGACTGTTGCCAATGTGGCCCGTGATATGGATACTTACTCTTTGGTTTTGCCTTTGGGTGTTACCGCCGGTATTGCTCCCTTCAACTTCCCCGCTATGATTCCCTTGTGGATGTTCCCTGTGGCCATTACCTGCGGTAATACCATGTTGTTGAAGCCTTCCGAACGTGTACCCGGCTCCACCATGATGTTGATGGAATTGTTGAACGAGGCTGGCTGTCCTCCGGGTGTTGTCAATGTTATCCATGGCCAACATGATGCCGTCAACTTTATCTGTGATGCTCCTGAAATCAAGGCTGTCTCCTTTGTCGGTTCCGATCAAGCTGGTAAATACATTTATGAACGTGCCGGCAAGAATGGCAAGCGCGTCCAAAGTAACATGGGTGCCAAGAATCACGGTATTGTTATGGCTGATGCCAACAAGGAAAACACTTTGAATCAATTGGCTGGTGCTGCTTTCGGTGCTGCCGGTCAACGTTGCATGGCCTTGTCCACCGCTGTGTTTGTCGGTGAGGCTCAACAATGGATTCCCGATTTGGTTGAACGTGCCAAGAAATTGAAGGTTAATGCTGGTCATGTTCCCGGCACTGATGTTGGTCCCGTTATCTCTGCCCAAGCCAAGAAACGTATTTGCGATTTGGTTGAATCCGGTGTTAAGCAAGGTGCCAAGCTTATCTTGGATGGCCGTGACATTAAGGTGGCCGGCTTCGAGGATGGCTACTTTGTAGGACCCACCATCTTGACCGATGTCACCCCCGATATGGACTGTTACAAGGAGGAAATCTTTGGCCCCGTCTTGGTTATCCTTAAGGCTGATACTTTGGATGAAGCCATCCAATTGACCAATGCCAATCCCTACGGTAACGGTACCGCCATCTTCACCACCAACGGTGCCACCGCCCGCAAATTCGTCAACGAAATCGATGTTGGTCAAGTAGGTGTCAATGTACCCATCCCTGTACCCTTGCCCATGTTCTCCTTCACCGGTACCCGTGGCTCCTTCCGTGGTGATCATCATTTCTATGGCAAACAAGGTGTTAAGTTCTATACCCAAACCAAGACTGTCACCCAATTGTGGCGTGAAACCGATGTTACCCACACCCAAGCTGCTGTAGCCATGCCCACCATGAAGTAAATTTAAGAAAGAAAGAGGAGAAGATAGACAATGCAAGGAGCTTATGAGAACAGAAACTAAGTTTCTAGGGGAATACCAGTGTCTTCCAGATATTAATTTAACAACAAAAAAAAAAATTATTTTTAAAAATTTATTAAAGCTCCGTTATAATTTCGTTCCCCTTTTTTTAAAAAAACACAATTACAAATTTCACTGCATTTATTAAATTTAATTTTATAATAAAACTATTAATTTTCTTTGTTTTGCGTGTATTAGTTTAAGTATTTTAGCTAGAACTCGAGAATTACTAATGTAAAATAAAATCTATATAATTTATAAAAAAATTAAACAAATTGTGTAAAATTTTTATTAAAATTAAGTAAAAGCAAACAATAACAATGTCTTCTAACAAAAAATACTTTTATAATAACAAACTAGACTAGACTATAGACTAGAATTTTCGATGTCAAAAAGTACAAAATTATTGAATTATCCATTTCTGAAAACAATACTTGAGTTCGATTACAAACACTTTCACTTAGAACAAATGTATTAAAGGCAGCAAAGAGACCAAAACAAATTGAAAACAATAACAACAGAAAACCATAACTCAAATCATGTATGTATACACATAGACACGCTTTTATTCAAACACATGCAAAAAAGCAAAACGCCTTCCCCTCCCCATGCTAATAACAACAACAACAAACACTTTGCAAAAACAAACAAGTGCAAATGCACTCAATACCACGAACAGACAAAAACCTGCACGAATTCGAGCAAACATAAACTAACAACTGTCAAACAAAACAATAACAAACCTGGCTAAAGAAAATAACAACAACATAAACAAATGTATTCAATAAATCACTCCCCACCAACCCAAAACAATTATAACAACAAACATAAAGTAAAAGAAGAAAAGAGTAAAGAGAGTTGCAGAAATCTCAATAGAAAACAACAACAACAATATTAAACTGCTAGGCACAACATGACAAAGCAAAACAATCTAAAACAATTGCACATAAAAAACATAATTCTTATGAATTAAAGGGAAATGGTTAATATTTAACAAGTTTTAATAAATGTTATTAACAAATTTGTCTCAAAACATTCAAACGGAAGACTTACCTTTAACTAACAGCAAAACTAATAAGAATATTTATTAAAAAATTAAAACACACACACACACCCGAACACTATTTATATACGAAAAACGCAAAGATTTGTTAGCACATTAAATTTTAAAAGAATAATCTTCTAAATTTTGATCATTTAAACTAATTTATTTTATTTATAAAACACTTGCTTTCTATAGACTAGACTATAGACTAGACTATAGACTAGACTATAGACTAGACTATAGACTAGACTATAGACTAGACTATAGACTAGACTATAGACTAGACTATAGACTAGACTATAGACTAGACTATAGACTAGACTATAGACTAGACTATAGACTAGACTATAGACTAGACTATAGACTAGACTATAGACTAGACTATAGACTAGACTAGACTAGACTAGACTAGACTATAGACTAGACTATAGACTAGACTATAGACTAGACTAGACTATAGACTAGACTATAGACTAGACTATAGACTAGACTATAGACTAGACTATAGACTAGGCTATAGACTAGACTATAGACTAGACTATAGACTAGACTATAGACTAGACTATAGACTAGGCTATAGACTAGACTATAGACTAGACTAGACTATAGACTAAACTATAGACTAAACTATAGACTAGACTATAGACCAAACTATAGACTAGACTATAGACTAGACTATGGACTAGACTATAGACTAGAATATAGACTAGACTATAGACTAGACTATAAACTAGACTATAGACTAGACTATAGACTAGACTATAGACTAGACTATAGACTAGACTATAGACTAGACTATAGACTAGACTATAGACTAGACTATAGACTAGACTATAGACTAGACTATAGACTAGACTATAGACTAGACTATAGACTAGACTATAGACTAGACTATAGACTAGACTATAGACTAGACTATAGACTAGACTATAGACTAGACTATAGACTAGACTATAGACTAGACTATAGACTAGACTATAGACTAGACTATAGACTAGACTATAGACTAGACTATAGACTAGACTATAGACTAGACTATAGACTAGACTATAGACTAGACTATAGACTAGACTATAGACTAGACTATAGACTAGACTATAGACTAGACTATAGACTAGACTATAGACTAGACTATAGACTAGACTATAGACTAGACTATAGACTAGACTATAGACTAGACTATAGACTAGACTATAGACTAGACTATAGACTAGACTATAGACTAGACTATAGACTAGACTATAGACTAGACTATAGACTAGACTATAGACTAGACTATAGACTAGACTATAGACTAGACTATAGACTAGACTATAGACTAGACTATAGACTAGACTATAGACTAGACTATAGACTAGACTAGACTAGACTATAGACTAGACTATAGACTAGACTATAGACTAGACTATAGACTAGACTATAGACTAGACTATAGACTAGACTATAGACTATATAGACTAGACTATAGACTAGACTATAGACTAGACTATAGACTAGACTATAGACTAGACTATAGACTAGACTATAGACTAGACTATAGACTAGACTATAGACTAGACTATAGACTAGACTATAGACTAGACTATAGACTAGACTATAGACTAGACTATAGACTAGACTATAGACTAGACTATAGACTAGACTTAGACTAGACCTATAGACTAGACTATAGACTAGACTGTAGACTAGACTATAGACTAGACTCTAGACTAGACTATAGACTAGACTATAGACTAGACTATTAACTAGACTATAGACTAGACTATAGACTAGACTATATACTAGACTATATACTTGATTATATACTAGACTATAGACTAGACTATATACTAGACTATAGACTAGACTTTAGACTAAACTATATACTAGACTTTAGACTAGACTAGTCTCTACTTGCTTTAGCAACATACGTTTCCGTTAGCTTTTATTTACATAATCTGTTATTTTATGTTATTCTGTTATTAACATACTGTTAACTCATTTACCATTTACATTTTTGTCCCTTTAACATTCTGTTAACTGATAAATTCCGTTACTTCCTGCTTTGTTCGGTTTATTTTCCATTTCTCTTTTCAGTCCTTATTGAAATGTTAACAGTGCGTGAGCGGTTTAAGTGTTACTAAAACTAGATTTGTTAAAAGTGTTAAAGAATTTGGTAAATAAATAAAAACAATAGCGGTTTCCCTGTAAACCAAGTGTTTTAAATAAAATATATTTGTTCATGTTATCAAAATTTAAACATTTATTCTTTTAAAAGTTAATTTGCTAACAAATCTATGCGTATTTTCGTATATAAATAGTGTTTGAGTGTGTGTGTGTGTTTTATAATCTATATATATAAAAATGAATGTGTGTTTGTTTGTATGTTTGTATGTTTGAACGTTATAGACTACTAAATGGCTGAACCGATTTTCTTGAAATTTTCACAGCATATTCCTGCATGTCTGGAATAGGTAATAGGCTACTTTTTATTTCGAAATTTCAAGTGGGCGATGAGCCACGCCCACATTAAGAAAATATAAAATCCGTATATTTTAGATAATATAACAGTTAGAGTCCTCAAATTTTGTCGGAGCCACATTAGTGTCAATATGATCATTTAGGACCAAAAGTAGGCGGACTAGCATTAGGGGGCGTGGTACCTCCCATATAAATTAAATACAAAAATTCGTTTATCTGGGAAACTAATAGAACTAAATTCTTAAAATTTAGCACGAAGAACTTTAACATCCATATAAACATTTTGGGTAATAAATTGGCGGACTACCCATGAGGGGAGCGGCACCTCCCATATTAATTAAATACAAAAATTCGTTTATCTGGGAAACTAATAGAACTAAATTCTTAAAATTTTGCACAAAGAACTTTAACATCCATATAAACATTTTGGGTAAAAAATTGGCGGACTACCCATGAGGGGAGCGGCACCTCCCATATTAATTAAAAACAAAAATTCGTTTATCTGGGAAACTAATAGAACTAAATTCTTAAAATTTTGCACGAAGAACTTTAATATTCATCTGAACATTTTTAAGGAAAAAAGAGCGGACTTTCATCTGGGGGGCTTGGAGCCCCCATATGAATAAAATAGAAAAATTCGTATATCTGAGAAACAATTAGAGCTAGAATCATTAAATTTTACTTGAAGAACTTTGACATTCACCTGAACATTTAGAATATAACGGGCGGACTTCCAATGGGTTACTTGGTACCTCCCATATGAATTAAATACAAAATTTCGTTTAACTGGGAAACTAATAGAACTAGATTCTTCAAATTTTGAACAAATTATTTTAATAATCATCTGAATATTTTGGAGGAAAAAGGGCGGACTTTCATCCGGGGGGCTTGAAGCCCCCACATGAATTAAATTCGTATATCTGAGAAACTATTAGAGCTAGAATCTTAAAATTTTACATGAAGAACTTTGACATTCATGTGAACATTTAGAGAATAACGGGCGGACTTTCAATGGGGGGCTTGGCACCACATATATGAATTAAATACAAAATTTCGTGCATCTTGGAAACTCTTATATTATTCAAATTTTTTGTAGATAGATAGAAATTGGCGATAGATAGAAACTGGCGAACTTGCAATAATTTGCTTGACATCTTTTATATGTAACATATAATAAATCTGGTATTTATTTATACATATTCCTTTTAGGGTAGCAAAGCACACTGGGTATAGCTAGTTTATTAAATAAAAGAAATATTGTTATTTTTTTATGTTAGTTAAAGGTAAGTGTTACGTTTTAATGTTTTGAGACTAATTTGTTAATAACATTTATTAAAGTTTTATAAATATCAATCATTTAATTTATAAGAATTTTGTGGTTTTGTGTGCAATTGTCTTAATTTGTTTTGCTTTGACATGTTGTGCCTTGCATTAAATACTGTTGTTGTTTTCTATTGAGAACTCTGCAACTCTCTTTAGTGTGTTTTCTTTTACTTAATATTTGTTGTTATAATTATTTTGGGTTGGTGGGAGTGATTAGTTTTATTGTTTGTTTATGTTGTTGCTATTTTATCTCTTTAGCCAGGTTTGTTATTGTTTTGCTTGACAGCTGTTGGTTTATGTTTGCACGCATTTGTGCAGGTTTTTGCCTGTTAGTGGTATTGAGTGCATTTGCACTTGTTTGTTTTTGCAAAGTGTTTGTTGTTTTTTTACTTTATTATTGTGGTTATGTGTGTGTTTTTCATAGGATTTGTACTAAAAAACTGCTTTTTGTTAATGTTTTTGTTGTTTTTATTAAGAGAAGGACTACTTGTTGACAAGTGGGAGTTTAATTTCGTATATTACTGTTGTTATTGTTTTGTTGGAAATACTTGAAAAATGTTTTATTTACAATTTTTGTTATTGGAAATGATGTGTTTGAATTTATAATCGCTATTTGTCTTTATTTATATGGCAACTCTTCCTATACTCTTACTGCACAGCATTGCCAACGTCAATTTGTAACTTAACGTTATTTTGAACAGTGTTGCCAGTGTTTTAAATTCCATTAACATCTGTTTACGTTGCCGGTTGTCAAATTAACACCCTTATTTGCTTAAAATATGAACACAAAAACAAAACATATGTTTTGTTTAAAGATTATTTGCAAAAACAAGAGCAAAATTTAAGAGAAATTATTTGAGAGCATAGCAAAGGATGTACTACAGGTACTTTTTATTGATTTTTAACCAAATTTGGATAAATCTGACAGTTTAACAACTGTCACTTAAGTTACAAAGGGAAATAAAAAGGGGGTATAAAGAAGAAAAAAACAGACAACTGTAATAAAAACATACAAAAAAATTTCTAAAGAATAGACACGAAATTGTAATAAAAATAAGCAAAAATATAAAGAAAATTTTGATTTAGTTTAGAAAAAAAAGGAAATTATAATTGATAAAATTAAAAGATTAATATTAAAACAAGAAAAGTTTAAAAGAGAAATTAAATAAATTTGTTTTAAAAGTAAAGAGAAATGTTAAAATAACTTTAATAAGTGAAACAGTAATTGTTTTGAAAATGTTTTAAAGTTTTGAAGAAATTTATGAATATTTTTCCAAAAAATTTATAAAAGAATTTAGTAAAAGTTTTTTTAATAAAAAGAGAATTTTGATAAATTTAAAGTGTTGCAAAGTTATTGCCTTTTCGTGAAAAAGTTTTCTTAATTTTTTCATTATTTTCAAGGATATTTGTAACCTACCCCACTTTTTCTATGTGTTTTTATTAGAACAAATCAAAAAAGAAAAAAAAACGAGAAAATATCAACGTCATTTTTACACACGCACATTGGAACTATATTCTCATAGTGTCAGACCCCCAAAAGAACACTAAAATAACAGGATTTAATTAAATCCTTACGTGTGTTTTGAAATTCAAAAATTTGAATATTAAATCAATAAATTACTTTAAATTTTAACCAGCAGAAAAAAAACTGTATGCTTTGCACGTTGCTAAGCAAAACATAAGAATCCTAATTATTGCAAAGTGAAAGCACCATATGTTTAAAACTATTTTTTGAAAAAATTTTGAATATATTTGTGTTAAAAATCCCAACATTATTAAGGCCATTATGTATAAAACCATAAGGCACGGTGAGAATAGTTTGCAATATACGATTTTACCGCAAAATGATGATTTTCGTTTGGAGGGCAAAATAAAAGCGGGCTCAGGAGGTGGTGGGGTCAAGAAATCGAAAGCTAAAAAACCCAAAAGAAGATCCTTTTTTGCCTATTTGGGTCTACTGTTCGTGTGCACGGTTATTATAGGGGCCGTCTTGGTGCCTTTTCTAGTATCGGCGGAATGTCTACCCAATCCTACGGAATGGTTTCTGAAAACTAAAAATGCTTTTAGTCAAAAACCTTTGGAACTCAAGGACAATGTGCCCACTCATTTATCTACACAAAATAACATTCTATTAAACAAAGGCAATTTGGCTTTGAATGTTGGAAAACCGGTAAAAATTATCAATAAAGATGGTGTGGAAAAATTTATTTTGAAAGTTAACAAGTCCGTTAGCACAGAAGCTCCCAAGCTTATACATGATAACAAACCCATAGCAAATGTAAACAACACTAATAAAGATCTACCAAGCCCCACAACTGCTTTAAATCCTGCAGCCTCTGCACCAGAACTTAATGAAAAAATCTCCATTTCACATCTAAACCTAAACGCAGACACCACTTCACTACCCTCGCCCACAGAAAAAACTCCTGATGTTAGCCTCCTCAAAACCCTGATAACTCAAACTACTTTAAGCCCAGCAACCACTACTACTGCTGCTGCTGCACCCACCACCACCATCACCCCGACTCTCTCACCTTTACTCAATCGTCCTTTATCATCGGCCTCTGTTCCTAGTGTACCCAGAGCCTCTTTGCAGTCAGCTTTAAATCAAAATTCCAATAGTTCTTCTACTCAACCCACCATAACGACACGCATAATGCAGGTGCCTCTTCTAAAATCGACCGCTAAGAAACCTGCTATACCACCAGTTTTAGTTAAAAATCTTTCACCTATACAACCTACTCCTGATAATAGTAATCTTAATGATATTTTACCCGCTAAAACGGCTGGAAGTGTTATTGGTGTTAAGGAAGGGGAAAATTCAGATTGGATACATTCTCATTGGCCGTATATAGATCCATCGACATATTTTCAATGGAATGTAAGTTCAAAATGCATCTAATAATACATAAAACCAGACTATACTCCCGATTATAGGATGGAATATAGTTTTATCTAAAGTCCAGGCTATATACTAGTCTACACTACAGAGTATAGACTATTCTATAGATCAGTTTATAGATTATTCTATAGTCCAGACTATAGACTATTCTATAGTCCACACTATAAACTATTCTATAGTCCAGACTATAGACTATTCTATAGTCCAGACTATAGACTTTTCTATAGTCCAGACTATAGACTATTCTATAGCCCAGGCTATAGACTATTCTATAGTCCACACTATAAACTATTCTATAGTCCAGACTATAGACTATTCTATAGTCCAGACTATAGACTATTCTATAGTCCAGTCTATAGACTATTCTATAGTCCAGACTATAGACTATTCTATAGTCCAGACTATAGACTATTCTATAGTCCACACTATAAACTATTCTATAGTCCAGACTATAGACTATTCTATAGTCCAGACTATAGACTATTCTATAGTCCAGACTATAGACTATTCTATAGTCCAGACTATAGACTATTATATAGTCCAGACTATAGACTATTCTACACTCCAGACTTTAGAATAGACTATAGTCTAAACTATAAACTATTATATAGTCTATACTATGGACTATTATATAGTCTAGACTATAGGCTATTCTATAGTCCAGACTTAGACAATTTTATAGTCCAGTCTATAGACTGTTCTATAGTCCAGACTATAGACTATTCTATAGTTCAGACTATTCTATAGTCAAGATTATAGACTATTCTATAGTCAAGACTATAGACTATTCTATAGTCCAGACTATAGACAATTCTATAGTCCAGACTATAGACAATTCTATAGTCCAGACTATAGACAATTCTATAGTCCAGACTATAGACAATTCTATAGTCCAGACTATAGACTATTTTATAGTCCAGACTATAGACTATTCTATAGTCCAGACTATAGACTATTCTATAGTCCAGACTATAGACTATTCTATAGTCCAGACTATAGACTATTCTATAGTCCAGACTATAGACTATTCTATAGTCCAGACTATAGACTATTCTATAGTCCAGACTATAGACTATTCTATAGTCCAGACTATAGACTATTCTATAGTCCAGACTATAGACTATTCTATAGTCCAGATTATAGACTATTCTGTAGTACAGGCTATAGACTATTCTATAGACTATTCTACATTCTAGATCTTAGACTATTGTATTGTCTAGACCTTAGACTATTCTTTAGTCTAGATTATAGACTATTCTGTAGTCCATACTATAACCTATTTTACAGTCCAGACTATAGACTATGCTATCCGGTTTTTAAACTACTCCATAGTCCAGAGTTTAGACTATTCTAAAGTCCAGTCTATGGTTAATTTTCCCCTTCTTTATTGATTCTTTTATTTAGGGTTACAAAACTGAGGATAGTGTTTTATTGCCCGCTCTCTTGGGTTTCGCTTTAATTGGTGTTATACTTATAATCACTGTCTGTTTGGTGGCACGCAATAAAAGAACAATAGTTACATCAGTGAGGAAACGTAATCGTAATGTAAGTAGTTTAAATATTTTGTAATAATATTTGGAAAAGGGGATGTTTAAAAAGTTTTTAATTAAATGGAGAGATTTTTTTATTAAAAAACAAAAATTCTTTAAATTTTAAAAATAATTTTATTTTTTTTGCTATTTTGTGGTAAAATTTTTTCAAAATTTTATCTAGAATATTTTGAAATTATAAAATTATTATTGTAAATAGGATTTTGTTTATTTTTTGTTGTTTTTTTATAAAATAAAATATTTGATTTCTTAATTATTTAACGGTTAATTTTTCTTGTTATTAATATATGATACCATTTTTTACAACCCTGTGTTTTGTTTTACTTTTTCTAATGTCATTTTTAACGAATGTGTACGTGTGTGCTCTGTGTCATATCTAAAGAGTATTTATATGAGTTTGTGTGTTTGTTTTGTCATTGTTATTTTGCAAGAGAGTACATTTGTATAACTTTTGTTTATGTACTCTTAAATAGCGACTGCATTGACAAAACGTCGGTTTTGCTGCGTGGCATTTTTTTTCTGGCATTTTACTATACAATTTGACGTGTAAAAAAAGATACTGAAAGAAAACTAAAATTTAGTAGCAAATAAGTAAGACCAGAGAAAAAATCTTAGTTAATTTTTAAATACCACACTTAACACAAGTAAACGTAACAAGAAAGTGACTGGAGGAGTGTTGGGAGAAGACTAGGAAAGAAAAAAAATAAAGAAATAAATTTTTTTGTAAAGAAAAATTTAAAAGAATAAACAAATTAATCAAAAGAAAATTTATTGTGTATAGAAGAAAAGAAGTACACATAATACTAAGAAAAGAAAGCTTTTGTTGCTGCTGTTGGAGCTTAATAACTAATTGAGTTGGTTTTGTGTTTAAAAAAAAAAATGGCCATTAAACCTGGTATGGGACGTAAGTCTTCTTCGAAGAATCCTCCTATCTTAAGTCATGAATTTGTTATACAAAATCATGCCGATATTATATCCTGCGTGGCCATGGTTTTTGTTTTGGGTTTGATGGATGAATCGACGGCACCCTTTGCCAGTGCTTTTATATCTTTGCATCACAATGTTTCGGGAGAGGAGCCTACACGAGAGCAACCTTTTGGCAAGCCTTATACCTATATGGCAGGCATTAAGGATTATTGTGCTGTTTTCTTTTACACCATTACCTGTATTATCATGCATGCCATTATCCAGGAGTTTGTTTTGGATAAAATCTCCAAGAAATTGCATTTATCCAAGTTTAAGCTGTCACTGTTTAATGAAAGTGGTCAATTGGTTACCTTCTATGTTATGTCTTTCTTGTGGGGTGCCAACATCATTCTTAAGGAGGCCTATTTCAGCAAATTTTCGCTTTTGTGGGACGATTTCCCCAATCACCCCATGACCTTTTTGCACAAGTTCTATTTCATCATACAATTGGCCTACTATCTGCACATGTTGCCTGAATTGTATTTCCAAAAGGTGCGTAAAGAGGAGCAACAACCCAAAATTATCCATTCCATCTGCGGCTTTTCGGTTATCTGCTTGGCCTACAGCTTTGGCTTCCAGCGCATTGCTGTTGTCCTTTTGACTCTGCACTATTTGAGTGAAATTGTTTCTCATATCTTTCAATTGATTGGTGTCTTCGATAAGGATGAAAAACTAGCCAGTGCTCGCATTTTCAATTCAGCTGTCTTTGTTTTTGTGCGTTTCACCACCATGGTCATAGGTGTCTTGACTTTATACTACGGTGTGGTAGCCACCACCTCCAGCAAATTGCGTGGCTTTTTGGCTTTGGTGTCTCTTATGGCCTTGCAGGGCTATTTGATTTTCTCTTTCATTACCGAACAGCTAAAGGCTAAACGTGAGGCTAAACAATTGGCCAAATTGCAGTCGTCCACACAAAAGAAGAAGTCACCCAAGGAGAAGACAAAACGTAAGCGTGAATCCGATTTACCAGAAGCTGATCAATCACCTAATGCTCCTATTAACCATAAGCCTAAGGTTAAATAAGTTAAAAGCTGTATACTTAAGGATTTATACAAAACAACAAAAACAAATTTACAACAATTTTCTATTGTAAGAAGAGGAGGGTTAGGTGGAGTTGAGCTGGAGTTTGATCGGTTTAAAGAGTTAATAACTCCTGGGGAGTGCAATTTTTTTAAATGAATGGACTGCAGCTCTTTTTCGTCTTCTTTTCCTTTTTCACAATCGAACACAAAAGGAACACACAAATGAAAAGGATAATTGGAAGAGGAATAAGGTAACCTGGCTTATAGTACATGCAATAGACAGTTTATACACCAGACTATTGTCTTTAATTTAGACTATATTTAAGACATGGTTAACCCCTCTAAACCCCTTTCTCCTGCCAATTATTCCTTTCATTTGTGTGTTATAAACTTTTCTTACTTTTTAAAAAAGCATTTAAAATCATCATCTAACAGTTGAACACTATTTTCTTATAATTTTTGTTTTTAAATTTTATAATTTTGTTTTTGTTTTATTTTTTATTATATTTTCTATTATTTTTTTTTATAAAAATAAAAACTTTGTTATTCAGTTTTTTAGAAAACTTCCAAACATTCTCATGACAAAAAAAAACACACATAAACAAAAACAATATGCTTCCTTTATTTTATAAAAAATTATAAAAAAAAAACCTAAAAAAAACAAATGTAAAGTTTATATTATAAAAAAATATATTTTTTTACTAAAAAACTAAAACAACATAAGTTTATAATTTCTTTTCTATTATAAAAATAAGTTTTCTAAAGTGTTATAAAAAAAATCAAAATTTTTGTTAAAAAGTTTAAACCACAAAAAAACCTTAAACTTGAACTAAACTCTTCTTTTTTTTTTTAATAAAACTATAATTTTAAGAATTATAAGTTCTTTTACTGCTTAAAACAAAAAAAAAAACATTCCAAGTTCAACTTGGCCCCCCCCCCCCAAAACACTCCCCCTTTACCCACTTAACATGACAAATTTCAAATTTAAATTTATTAATTTTAGTTTAAACTTAAATGAAGAAAAAAAAACACAAAAACCTACAAAACGAAACAATATTTAAATAAAAAATAAACATATTTTTTTACATAAAAACAAACCAAGAAAACTAAGAAAAAAATCCAAGAAATTGTTTTTGTTTTAATAAAAATTTTCCAAAAAAAGGTAAGTTTAGAAAGTCTGGCTTGAGAAAAACCCAGCTCAAGGTTAATTATCTCTTAACTAAACCAGTTTATAAATAGTTTATAAATACTTGCCTATGTGGCCCCTTTTCAAAAAAAAAATGTGTTTTTAATTAAAATTTTTCTAAAATATGCAAACAAATTGTATAAATTATAAATTTTAATAGAGTTAAGTCAATGGAAATAAAGGGTGTAACATAAATTGAAAAGAAAAAAGACAAAAACCAACAAATTTTAAGAAAATAAAAAATTTTGTTTGAAAATTTTAATTTTACTTCAAAAAAGTTTAATATTGAATACAAAAATCTAAAAATTTTGTATAAAAACTCAAATTTTACTTCATTTGAATAAAATTCACGAAATTGGAAACTTTTGGTACTCTTCGAAAAAAGTACTTTTTTTTGCTACTTTTTTGAAAAAATACCAAAATTAGTACGAAAATCAAATTTTTTTTATTAAACTCCAATTTCACTTCATTTTAGCAAAATTTACGAATTTGGAAACTTTTGGTACTTTTTGAAAAAAGTAATTTTTTAAAAAATACCATAATTAGTACTTTACGACATGAAAATTAATTAAAAAGGTTTAAATTTACCATATTTTAACAAAATTAACTAATTTAAAAACTTTTGTTACTTTTTGAAAAAAGTACTTTTTTAAAAAATAGCAAATTTAGTACTTTTTAACATGAAAATTAATTAACAAAGTTAAAATTTTCCCTATTTTAACAAAATTAACAAATTTTCAAAATTTTGTTACTTTTTGAAAAAAGTACTTTTTTGATACTTTTTTAAAAAAATACCAAAATTAGTACTTTTCGACATGAAAATTAATTAAAAAAGTTAAAATTTACCTTATTTTAACAAAATTAACTAGTTTAGAAACTTTTGGTACTTTTTAAAAAGAGTACTTTTTTTAATACTTTTTTAAAAATACCAAAATTAGTATTTTTCAACATGAAAATTAATTAAAACAGTTAAAATTTACCTTATTTTAACAAAATTAACAAATTTTAAAACTTTTTGAAAAAAGTACTTTTTTGATACTTTTTTCAAAAAGTAACAAAAATTAGTACTTTTCGACATGAAAATTAATTAAAAAAGTTATTTTAACAAAATTAACTAGTTTAGAAACTTTTGGTACTTTTTAAAAAGAATACTTTTTTTAATACTTTTTTAAAAATACCAAAATTAGTACTTTCCGACATGAAAATGAATTAAAAAAGTTAAAATTTACCTTACTTTAACAAAATTAACCACTTTAGAAACTTTTGTTACTTTTTGAAAAAAGTACTTTTTTAATACTTTTTTAAAAAATACCAAAATGAGTACTTTTTAACAAAAAAAATTAATTAAAAAAGTTTAAATTTACCTTATTTCAACAAAATAACTAAATTTTAAAACTTTTTGAAAAAAAGTACTTTTTTAATACTTTTTTAAAAATGCCAAAATTAGTACTTTTCGACATAAAAATTAATGAAAAGAGTTTAAATTTATTTTATTTTAACAAAATTAACAAATTTGAAAACTTTTTGAAAAAAGTACTTTTTTGGTACTTTTTTTAAAAAATACCAAAACTAGTATTTTTTAACATGAAAATTTATTAAAAAAGTTAAAATTAACCTCATTTTAACAAAATTAACTAATTTAGAAACTTTTGGTACTTTTTTTTACTTTTTTAAAAAATTCAAAAATTAGTACTTTTCGACATGAAAATTAATTTAAATAGTTAAAACTTACCTTATTTTAACAAAACTAATAAATTTGCAAACTTTGGATACTTTTACACAAAGGTACTTTTTTAATACTTTTTCAAAAAATACTAAAATTAGTACTTTTAAATTTAAAAAGTTAAAATTTACCTTGTTTTCACAAAATTAACAAATTTTTAAATTTTTGGTACTTTTTAAAAAAAGTACTTTTTTTGATACTTTTTGAAAAAAGACTAAAATTAGTAATAAAATATTTATGATATACCTAGAAAATATAAAATTTTTCTTAAAATAACTGCTACCTAAAACTTTTGGTTGTTTTTTTTTTAAAGTATTTTAGAAAAAAGTACCAAATTTTGTACTTTTTACAGTAAAATGTATATGACATTAAAGGAATTTATACAATCAAATAAAATAAGTGTACAAAAGTCAAATTTTACATTATATTTAACAAAATGAACTAATTTAACAAAATGAACTTTTTGAAAAAAGTACTTTTTTTAAATACTAAAATAAGTACTTTTTGCTATGAAAATTGATAAAAATATTAAAAATTTTATTTAATTTTAACGAAATTAAAAAATTTCTAAATATTTGATACTTTTTATAAAAAAGTACTTTTGAAAAGGTACCAAATTTAGTACTTTTTATCATATAAAGCAATAACTATTAAAGTTTAAGTTTAAGAATTTGAATAAAAAGTATAATTTTAAGCATTTTGCTCAAAAAGGGATGGCTATTGAAAAAAGTACTTTTTACAAAAAAAATATATTTTTGGTACTTTTTACAAAAATATCAAATATAGTACTTTTTATATAAAATTAAGCAACATTTTAATAAAAAATACAATTTATCGATTTTTTAAAAAACTACCGACTTTGTAAAACGTTTCGAGAAAAAGTACTTTTCAAAAAAGTACTTTTTAACAAAAAATTTAACAATTACTTCAAAAATAAGAAATTTCCCACTTTTGGTGCTTTTTTTTTTGAAAAAAGTACTTTTGCTAAAACGTCTCAAACTAAGTACTTATGGGTATCTAAAATTTTCTTAAATACCAATTAAAGTTTTCCTCAAATTTTTTCCCTTTTCCAGGATCTAGAAGAAACTGGCGCCGAGGATAATACCACCTTATTAACCAATACCAATTTATCAGATGAAGATTAAATAAAAAGGAATTTTTTTATTCCCCCAACAAAAGCTATTATAAAGGTAAATTTATTTTATAAATTTAAAAATTTTTGTTGTAAATTTAATTTTAGTTGAAAATTTACTTAAAAAAACAATAATTCAAAACACTAAAGGCGTCAAGAGACAAAATATCAAACTAAAAATGTTTTTATAACAAATATTGCTTAAACCGATTTAAAAAAAGATATATACAATTTAATACTTTATTAGTTCAATCATTTTTTAAATAAATATTTCAAAAAATCACAGTAAATGTCCATTTTTGATTTATAAAACACTTTTATTAAAAAAGAAGAAGAAAAGTTTTAGAAATAATAAAAGAAATTGTAAAAGAAATTTGTTGAAATAAAATGGGGACAAATAGTAGATTAAAAACGAGACTATATACGAGATTATTGACTAGACTATAGACTAGACTATAGACTAGACTATAGACTAGACTATAGACTAGACTATAGACTAGACTATAGACTAGACTATAGACTAGACTATAGACTAGACCATAGACTAGACTATAGACTAGACTATAGACTAGACTATAGACTAGACTATAGACTAGACTATAGACTAGACTATAGACTATACTATAGACTAGACTATAGACTAGACTATAGACTACTCTATAGACTAGACTATAGACTAGACTATAGACTAGACTATAGACTAGACTATAGACTAGACTATAGACTAGACTATAGACTAGACTATAGACTAGACTATAGACTAGACTATAGACTAGACTAGACTATAGACTAGACTATAGACTAGACTATAGACTAGACTATAGACTAGACTATAGACTAGACTATAGACTAGACTATAGACTAGACTATAGACTAGACTATAGACTAGACTATAGACTAGACTATAGACTAGACTATAGACTAGACTATAGACTAGACTATAGACTAGACTATAGACTAGACTATAGACTAGACTATAGACTAGACTATAGACTAGACTATAGACTAGACTATAGACTAGACTATAGACTAGACTATAGACTAGACTATAGACTAGACTATAGACTAGACTATAGACTAGACTATAGACTAGACTATAGACTAGACTATAGACTAGACTATAGACTAGACTATAGACTAGACTATAGACTAGACTATAGACTAGACTATAGACTAGACTATAGACTAGACTATAGACTAGACTATAGACTAGACTATAGACTAGACTATAGACTAGACTATAGACTAGACTATAGACTAGACTATAGACTAGACTAGACTAGACTAGACTAGACTAGACTATAGACTAGACTAGACTAGACTAGACTAGACTAGACTGGACTAGACTAGACTAGACTAGACTAGACTAGACTAGACTAGACTAGACTAGACTAGACTAGACTAGACTAGACTAGACTAGACTAGACTAGACTAGACTAGACTAGACTAGACTAGACTAGACTAGACTAGACTAGACTAGACTAGACTAGACTAGACTAGACTAGACTAGACTAGACTAGCTAGACTAGACTAGGACTAGACTAGACTAGACTAGACTAGACTAGACTATAGACTAGACTAGACTAGACTAGACTATAGACTAGACTATAGACTAGACTATAGACTAGACTATAGACTAGACTATAGACTAGACTATAGACTAGACTATAGACTAGACTATAGACTAGACTATAGACTAGACTATAGACTAGACTATAGACTAGACTATAGACTAGACTATAGACTAGACTATAGACTAGACTATAGACTAGACTATAGACTAGACTATAGACTAGACTATAGACTAGACTAGACTAGACTATAGACTAGACTATAGACTAGACTATAGACTAGACTATAGACTAGACTATAGACTAGACTATAGACTAGACTATAGACTAGACTATAGACTAGACTATAGACTAGACTATAGACTAGACTATAGACTAGACTATAGACTAGACTATAGACTAGACTATAGACTAGACTATAGACTAGACTATAGACTAGACTATAGACTAGACTATAGACTAGACTATAGACTAGACTATAGACTAGACTATAGACTAGACTATAGACTAGACTATAGACTAGACTATAGATTAGACTATAGACTAGACTATAGACTAGACTATAGACTAGACTATAGACTAGACTATAGACTAGACTATAGACTAGACTATAGACTAGACTATAGACTAGACTATAGACTAGACTATAGACTAGACTATAGACTAGAATAGACTATAGGCTAGACTATAGACTAGACTATAGACTAGACTATAGACTAGACTAGACTATAGACTAGACTATAGACTAGACTATAGACTAGACTATAGACTAGACTATAGACTAGACTATAGACTAGACTATAGACTAGACTATAGACTAGACTATAGACTAGACTATAGACTAGACTATAGACTAGACTGTAGACTAGACTATAGACTAGACTATAGACTAGACTATAGACTAGACTACAGATTAGACTATAGACTAGAATATAGACTAGACTACAGACTAGACTATAGACTAGACTATAGACTAGACTATAGACTACACTATAGACTACACTATAGACTACACTATAGACTACACTATAGACTAGACTATAGACTGGACTATAGTCTAGAGAATAGACTAGAGTATAGACTAGAGTATAGACTAGAGTATAGACTAGAGTATAGACTAGAGTATAGACTAGAGTATAGACTAGTCTATAGACTAGGCTATAGACTAGACTATAGACTAGACTATAGACTAGACTATAGACTAGACTATAGACTAGACTATAGACTAGACATAGACTAGACAATAGACTAGACATAGACTAGACTAGACTAGACTATAGACTAGACTATAGACTAGAATAGACTAGAATAGACTATAGACTAGACAATAGACTAGACAATAGACTAGACAATAGACTAGACTAGACTATAGACTAGACTATAGACTAGACTAGACTAGACTAAAGACTAGACTACAGACTAGACTATAGACAAGACTATAGACTAGACTATAGATTAGACTATAGACTAGACTATAGACGAGACTATAGACTAGACTATAGACTAGACTATAGACGAGACTATAGACTAGACTATAGACTAGACTATAGACCAGACTATAGACTAGACTATAGACTAGACTATAGACTAGACTATAGACTAGACTATAGACTAGACTATAGACTAGACTATAGACTAGACTATAGACTAGACTATAGACTAGACTATAGACTAGACTATAGACTAGACTATAGACTAGACTATAGACTAGACTAGACTAGACTATAGACTAGACTATAGACTAGACTATAGACTATAGACTAGACTATAGACTGGACTATAGACTAGACTATAGACTAGACAATAGACTAGACTATAGACTAGACCATAGACTAGACTATAGACTAGACCATAGACTAGACTATAGACTGGACTATAGACTAGACTATAGACTAGACTATAGACTAGACTATAGACTAGACTATAGACTAGACTATAGACTAGACTATAGACTAGACTATAGACTAGACTATAGACTAGACTATAGACTAGACTATAGACTAGACTATAGACTAGACTATAGACTAGACTATAGACTAGACTATAGACTAGACTATAGACTGGACTATAAACTAGACTATAGACTACACTATGGACTAGATTATAATCTAGACTATAGTTTTTGAAAGAGGCCTGATTCTTCTTTATTTTCTACAAATTTCTTTTCCATCCCCTCAAATAAAACAACTTTATCATTATTAAACAAAAGTAAAAGAAATCAAGTAATAAAATGAAAATGAATTAAAAACGCTTATTTATTAAATTATAACAAAAAAAAAGAAAACAGCTCATATTAAGCAAAAAACCACTAAAGCAGCATTATTTAAACAAAATTATAATTAAGAGAAAAATTATAACAAAAACAAGTATTAAAAACATTTTCAATAAATTTTATAAAAAAATAAGTATTAATTTAAAAAAAAAAACTAGGCTTAAAATTTTGAAAATACACACCTAAACACAATCCTTAACAAAACAATAATTTTGATAATTTAAAAAAAAATAAAGTTTAGTTTTAATTAAGAAAAAAAAGAGGCAAGATTTTTGTAAATTAAAAATAAATAAAAATGGACTAAAGACAAGACTTACCACTGAGATAGGTAATTTAGACTATATCATAGACCATAGAGTTGACTTTGGTTCAGATTAACGTCTAGTCTTTAGTCCAGACTTTAAACTAGTTTTTAGAGTCTAATTAGTTTTCTTTTTGTATTATTTAAGGCCATTAGGGACAAAAAATCCGTCCTAAAGTTTTATTTTGAAAAAATTTGTTGAAACTTTTTTACAAAAATCTTGCCAAATCCTGTTTTCTTTAACCACACGAAACACACAACAAAAGTATCCACAAAAAAGACTGTTTCTTAAATAATTATTAAATTATTAATTAAATTTAAAAAAAAACAACAACACATCTTCTTAAATTTTAGTTTAAAACCAAACAAATTGGCCACAATTTTGGTAAATTCTTTTGTTTTTATTCCACTCAATGTTTTTTTAAATACATTTTTTTATAGAAACTTTAAAAAATACACCCTTTAAAGGCTTACAATCACTTGAAGAAGTAAAAACGTTTAGAAAACCCACTTAAATTTTATAAAAACTCAACATTTAATAAACAAAACACTCTAATTTTATATCCTTTTCACACCAAAATGTAAACAAACCACAGCATTGTAAAAAATGTTAGTATTTTTTCAACCATAAACACACACACATACACGTAACTGTATAAAAAGAAAAGTAGCAGAAAAAAAACCTTTTTAACAAAAAGGGTTTTTTGAAAAAAGTGTTAGTTTATTTATTCTTTTCTATTAAAAAAAAACAATAAATAAAATGAATATAATAAATCAGAGAAAATTTAACTATTTTTGTAAAAGTGTGATTGTTGTAGAGAAACCAAAAAAAAATAAACAAACAATTGTAGTTAGTGTTGTGTACAACAAAAATAAAATAAATTTAAATGGAAGAAAAAATCATAAAGAAAATTTCAAAACAAAAAAGGTGAGGCTAATAAAAATAACAGTATTTCACAAAAAGATATATAAGTTTAGATGAGAAATAATAACAACAAATAAGATAAAATAGTATAATTTATTAAATAAATATTATAATTTTTGCAAATATGAAGAAAATAACAATAAAGCAGAAATCTTTCG